ACACATCGTCGAAATAAGTCGGTGCGAAATACCGCACCGGTCTCAACAGATTTGTGTGACACATCTGTTGAATGTTGCAGGGGCGTTACTCTGTCCCTGTGGCATAACTAGCCACTCCCACAGCATCCCGCTGGGGGTGCTCACTGCTGTGTACGGGATGTCCCGTTCACGCATAAGGATCTGATAGAACCCATCCATCAGATCCATGGACGAGAAGATGGTACTCTTTGACATGCCATATATGATTACTTCCTTCTTCGGTATCGGCGTCTGAGCCGGTACCGTTGCAGTATTCAACTTGTTGAATGCGTGCACTATCCGCCATCCTCCTGTGGCCTTTCGCACACAGAAGGTCGGAGAGCTGTGAGGGGAAGTTGGTTCCCTCATATGGCTTGCAGCGAAGCGATCGGCAAAGAATTTGTCGATTGCTAGAACCTGTTCACGAGGCAGTGGCCACTGCTTCATGACACAGTACTTCGAGCCCGGGCTGAGCTCGATCTCGTTTCGAGTGCCTTTGTCCTTAGGCAACTTGCAAGGCACAAATTCAAAGAATACATCCCTGAATTTTATCAAATCCTCATGAAAAGGATTTTCCTGAAGCGACTCCCAGGATTGAGACGTGTATCGCTCAATCCGAGTCTTCTCATCGAGGGCACTTTCGTCCACCGATGAGCTGCTGAGAACCCGTTCGTTCTCTGCAAATGCTGTTGCCGACCGAATGTCGGTCACATACTCATTCTCTGCGACGAGTATGCAGATCTGCTTGACTTTGCCACTACGCAGATCACGCAAGAACAGTTTCGGTTCTAGCGTTGGCAACTGAGTTATCTCCGAAGTTAACTTCCGAGGCACAATCAGATCAAGTTTATAAGCGCCAACGATTGATCCGTTATTGACCAAGACGTTCAACGTCTCGGTTTCTTTCTGGGAACTTGTTTTCACAGGATGCTGAGGGCGTAGTCCCTTAGTATTTAACTCGTGAGGAAGTCCTTTCTCAAGAGCGTGGGGAATGATTTCCTCGACGTCTTCTGACTGTGGCTGTGCAAACACAGTCAGGTACCGATCCTCTACGGCCGACTCTCCAGTCGACTTAGGATCTCCATGTTGCCCTTTGAAGGCAACAGGTTTCTTACTTCTAAGATGCTGCCCGCTAGGCATGCATCCATGTCCCGGTCCACTCGACTTATTCGAGTGGTGGACCTTCGGTGCAGCCTGTACTCCTGTACAGCCGCCGGGAGCTTGCTCCACAGTGTAATGATCAACTACACTGTGATCTTGTGCAGTCGTGCTGACGACCGTACCGCAAGTGAGGCCATCGCACTCACTCGCAGAACATCCACACGCTTGTGGACGCTTCAAGATGTCCATCAGATGGCCATCTGATGAACAAGCGTCAGGCATCTTTACAGATCGATGTTGCCAGATCACTCTTGGCTCGTACCTTCTGAGCCAAGGTGATCCCAGGATGACATCAAATTTATCATCCAGATCCAGTACGATGAAGTCATCATCGTACTGTTCGCCTTTCAACGTGTAGTGGATTCCTACTACACGTTTCTCAACGGTAATCGATGCGCCTGTTGCAAGGCGAACCGTCTTCCTCGTGAGGGGAATGTCGCGCTCAACGAACTTGAGCCTACGACCCTCTAGTGACTGGCGTCGAACAACTTTGTTCGACGCCCCACAGTCAACCAGGGCACGAAGTGACACATCTTTTGTCACTTCTAACTTCAAGGTGATGAGTGATATCTCATCACCAGGTGTAGAGACACACATTGATTGTGTGTCTGGAGCAACTTTCGTCAAGAGATTTGCAAATTCTCTTGAGGTTGCTAGATCAGTAGGGCGCTCCGCCCCTACTGACCCCGACCATTTTTTGATGGTCCGTCTCGCTGTTGCGGCTTCGCAACAGCGCTGGACCCACGCCCATTGCCCTTTCTGGCAAATGGTCGTCCATTTCGCTCAGTAAAGTTTGGTACTGGGCGTGGAGCACTACACTCGTATGCGTAGTGCCCTAACTTCTGACAGCGATTGCACTTCTGCAATCGCTTGTTGTTCGAAGAGCGAGGTCTCTCGCTCTCAACATAGCAGAGGTCCATTGGTTCGGGACCCCCGGTCTCTTGTCGTCTCGGTGGACGATAAGAGTTTGAGCTAGCATGAGCCTGTCTCATGCTAAAGTCTTCCTGTTCCGCGGCTGATATCGCATCTTCCATCGTATTTAGCTCAAGGCGGAACAGGTGGCTCCTGACGGGCCCTTCTGCGAGGCCTTGCATGAATACCGTAATCAACGTGTGTTCATGGACTGGGTTAGCAGTTATACTACTCGCAAGGAGTCGTATATGTTGTGCGTAAGCGTGCACATCACGCTTACCCTGCTCGATTTTCAGGAGCTCTGAACGAGCCCTGAACTCAGCCCGTGGCGGCTCAAACGTTTGTCTGAGCCGGGGCTTGAAGTCATCTAGCGACCTAAACACATTTGGGTCGCTACTCTCGAGCCCCAGGGACCAAGTTTTGGCACGCCCTGCCAAGTGGGTTTGAGCAAATGTAAGTTTCATTTGCTCATCGTCGACACGACGCGCCTTCAAGGCTCTGTCGAGTTCGACGAACCATAGTAACAGGGAGTCGTCTGGGACTCCTCTGTACTTTGAGATGTCAACTTTCATGACTTCGGGACGGCACATGCGCTGTCCCGCCCACAGCAGCATGGAATTGCTGCTGTCTCAACAGCTCTGTCTGTTGAGCACTGATTTCTCTTAACTGATCGGCCTGTTTAGAGCCTTGCTGGTGAAGCAAGGCTACTCTATCCCGATCGGTAGCAAGTTCATATTGAATGAATCTGTCGATGGAGGCATGCTGTTGGTCTCTGTCAAGAAAATCCAACATAGCGGTAACGTCAATATCGCCCACGGTAGAGCTCATTCACCCACCGGGGCCCATTCGAGATCACTCAAATGGGCAAAGCCTTCACGCGTCGCGAGAATGGTTTCTCCCTCCTCGATCATGTTTATGATGGATGAGATTCTTGGTCGCTGGAAGGACTATAAAGTGCTACCAGGTGTAACGAGGTTCACCCCTTGCGTGAACTAAACGCAAGGGTGACGTGTGCTCGACAAGCGTACACAGGGTAACCGAGGAAGCGGTAGGCAGAACAGAAGCCGAAAGCTCTGTCTAGAGGGAAAAGTAGAACTATTTATTCGATACAGTTATTACGTAAATAGATCACCTTTGACTTGCTCTAACTATATTAAACAATCTTCTCCTATGTGGGTCCCTTGCTCATTACCCATTGCGCGCGTCCAGCAGCGATAAGTGGTTGAGTTTGTAACGGGGCACACCCTTGCGTGAACGTAACACAAGGGTTTCGGTGCCCCGACAGACGTACACAAGGCAAGTGAGGAAGCGTAGATAAGGTAAAAGCAGAACTGTTATATTAATATAATTAAGTCTTTTAACTACTGTCTCTCTGTTTGACTTAACTTTATTATGTTAATATAACTGAGTGTATGGTGACGTCTCGTCACCACTCATTGCGCGCGCCTTGCGGCGATTGGTGGGTTGATATCATCAAGATATCAACCAATGAACAGACTCTTTGGTCGACCCATCAATATCACCACTATTGGTGATATTGTTGAAGGAATATTCAACATAATATTCTTTATTGTCATTATCTTTAGAATGACAATTTCCATGTAACGGGCTTTTCCGTTATAGCAATGCCAGATTCTTATAGCGACCGACCGGCACGCCTTGACGCACTTGACCGTGTTGATAGAACACCAGACCTGACATGAGAATTCCCGGGTATACTTCCGCGTGCATTTTCTGTCCTTGAGCACCAAGGTCAGGAGCTTACGCCACTCCGTAGTCCACACGTGATTGGAATGGCGGGTCAACAACGTGACCCCTAGCATTAGAGGTCGACTCTTTTTGAAGTAGGTGGCCGGCGGAACGTCCGGTGATCGTTTGGGAGACGGGTATGCACCAAGGCCTGAAGATTAATACCGGCGCCTGAACCCAGTACTGAACTAAAGATGCCTGACTTTGTAGACCCCTTGCGTTTGCCTTCCGCTTGTCTGGATTGGGAGGATTCCATCCTGCGTATCCGTTCTGAAAAGTCGTTTAGCATGACGAGGATCTTATCCAGTGCCGCTGAGGGCACTCCCGGCTTTTCTTCCAAATTGAGGTCGATGGGTGAGCCCTGACCATCGTCTACCACAGCGGGTTTTGCCTTTAGGGCGGCGCCGCCAACACGTCCCGTTGGGCTCATTATCTGGTAGATGTAGATGTTATCGTTGCACTTGTGGAAAAGAGGATAAAAGTAAAAGAAAAATATGTTCACTGTTATCTACTACCCTTGCCAACACTACGTTATGCATTAACCAAAACGGAACTGCAACTAGACCATGTCAACCTGTCACATAATGTCCGTCTCTCTTCGTCCCTTGCGTCGATTTGTCACATGCTAATCAATCAGGTGAGGTCGGAAGTTACCTGTAACGGGTCTTGCACTTGAAGTGCAGAAGCTTGTTACCTGTTAGAAACAGTATCTTCTCCCATTATCTCCCTAGGAGCTCATACATCTGCGATGTTGATTCCTATCAGCCTCTTGCGCGGTTCCTCGACATGGAGCGCAATCACCATAGTAACCGCGTGGCGCGGGGGAGGTTACCCTCCGCCACGCATTCCCCTCACCAGCCTACGCACGACCCTCGGACGCGCGAATGGCATGCTCGAGGCTCACCCCACCCACATCGGCTCCCGCGAGGAAGGATTTCCTCCAATGTGAGCTTTCTCAGTAAAGGGGGAAGCTAACCGGACATGAGAATGACTGCGAAGTTTCGGGAATGCTGATAGGCAGACATCCTCGAAGCCATTGCTCGAAGACAAGGCGCTGGTGCACGTTTTGGCACCTCGTGCTGTCGCTTGCCCCTACAAAGCCGGTTCGTACTTACTCGGAACTCTCTCTATAGTCATTTTCGTCTCCTGCCGCGGCCACCATGGATTCCGTTCTTGTCACGGCTGCAGACTTCAACGAGGACAAGTACAAACTGTTGCAGCTGAACCCCGAGATCGAGCGAGCTGTCACAACTGGTTCCAAGTACGTTCGTCTGTTTGTCTGTTTGTCTGTTTGCTTGTTTTGCTTCCGTCATTGATAGCGGAAAGAAAGCGACGGATAGGACATTGCAACAGCGACTAATGTCGTCTACTGTCCACATGTACTCCAGGGTGGTGATCGTAGGGGCACCAGATGCTCGAGCGGTTTTGTGCACGGCGGATCAATCGTACTATATCACAAAGGAGGACACTTCGAATTTACGTCTTCTCACGACCCACACAGACTGGAGTGGACCAGAGCAGACAACGGACAAGAGGACGATTCAAGTAGCGGGAGCTGCTCGATTCCATTACCTGGTAAGTCCATTGACTTTGTTGTGACGGACGATATACAAAGGACTTGTGCTTACTTCTGGAGGGCCTTGCGATCGATACAGCTTGAGCACAAGGCTCCTGATGCGACACTGCTGCGGGCTCTGTTGCTGGAAGCACCGTATGACAAGCCTCGGCGTGATGCTGCTGCGTCTGAAGCGAAGCGCACAAAGTTGCACACGCTGTACACGACGGGAGACTTGGTGGATGCGTTGCAAGTGAGCGAGCAGGAGGTGCTGACGATGCTGGACGAGATACACGCTTTTGAAGAAGCAGGTACATGGCGTATCTTGAAACCGGCGTACCAGGCTCAAGTAGTTGCAGATATGCTGGATACCATCGTGCAACACGACTTGGACGCGTTGTCGGAGCCAGGGGTACCTGTGGCATGGTTCCTGACTCAGCTGGACGAGCCGTGGGTGGTCATCCGTCAATGTTGTAAGCTGTACGGTCGGCTGACGTCGATGAATGGAGAGGATCGTTGCACGTTGGACCCAGTAAAGGTTGCTGTATTCCGAGCCAAGTCGCTGTTCGACGAGCAGATAGAAGAGGCAAAGTTCCAGGCTGCGCAGGAGCACGTGGCGTTGACTGCCACGGACGTGGGCTGGGAAGTGGACTCGTTTATGGAAAAGTGGAAGCTTCGTGTGCCTGATAGCGTGTCCGTGACTCTGGATATGCTTAGCGGCCTTGTACTGGTGAAACCTCACTCGACAGGGAAGGCATCTCGAATTGTGTACTTTCCTGAAGAGGAGCTGTCGCCTGAACCCAAGAAGCGCTTCGAGCAGCTGTTTGAGATGCAGGAGAAGTGGACAATCAAGCAGCTCGAGCCGTTTATCAAGTACGTCTCTGCCCTAATGTATGCTACTGTAGCGATCAAGATGAACAGCTTTATGCTGACGCTGCTCTAGGTCTTTGATTACGCCTAGCACGACACAAGCATCGTTGCTGCTCAAGCACACGCGCTCCACGCGTCAGTGCGGATCGACCGAGAAGCTATATAGCCGACGCTGAACTGACTGACGAAGGACGTGTGACAAGGGCAATGCGGATGCCGTGGCAGCAATAGCGATGACGAAAGGTCAACACATTGAAGCGTGTGAATCTGTTACTCTACAGGTGCTGGAGAGCAGTGATGGTGTTTTGACTGCTTACCGCTTGGCACATCGAGAGTGGGCTTTTGATGTAGGCTTATACATGAAGGGCAAAGTGACAAGAACGCAGCGAGCTGCACGTCACTACCCCAAACCGAAGTAAAGCCGATGCGGATGGATCATCACGAAGTTACGCATACATTTGAGCTTCCAAATAGGCAAATGGGCTCTGTGGCATCTGTGGTCACGAATGGCTCGCATACGATGTTGTGTGAATGTACGCGAAATGGGTCAGGTAACGCTTCGTGACATGGCTACATCGAGATCGGACCGTCGTACAAGTAGTGAGTGAGAAGGTGGGGTATAGTTGGGTCCACGTACAACACGCTAAATCCAGATCATCGTACAAGTAGCACAGACGAGCTCAGGGTCATCGAATCCTCTTGCGTGGTGCGAGAAAACTTCCAAGTGGAACTATAAGCAGTAGCAAGCGGCTGCTAGATCGATACTTTCTTCTGATCGCACGGCTTACGTTGGATACATGGAAGCATGACGTCGCACTTGTCTGCATCTCATAAACACGCGCGACTATCTGCTGACCCTTTTTACTGCACTATGTTTGTATCTCGAGAGTTGCGACTATGGCAACTTGCGCAAAGTTTGATCCACATGTGAATAAAGCACAGGAGAAGGATCCGCTGATGAAAACGGGCGTCATTAGAAAGTTGAACTGAAATTTCTGGTCGGTCAGCCAGCGATACGATGTTGTTGATGCTGCCCCTTTCATGCTGGCTTGACGTCCACGTAGGTGGTACATCTGTATCGGGGTGAGCCCGTTACAGGTACTCATTGACACCACATTGTGTCAATGCGAGCATTATCTTCAGTGACAACATTCACCAATATTTATTGTACGGAGGAAATACCGACGGAAAATACTTTTACAGGTGGTATTCAGCATTGTTCCACTCATTGCTTGATATAGTCCATTATGTCAACCGGATCCATTACCCATAATCGCTGCTAGACGCGCGCGATGGTGCTGAAGGAGTTGCTACATAAGGAGGCTATCGTTATCATTGTTCAGGCAAGTTCATCAAAGAGGTTTAATCAGAAACCGTAAGCCATATTCAATGCACTTCTGCTTTTTCCTTCTTCTCAACGTGTTCGTTCAGGAGATCCAGCCTTCCTCTGCACGTACAGTAGTGCAAGAGAAGACCTAGGCACATGCCCACACTGTATCGGTGTAGGTAGGTCGTACGGTGCCAGTGCAGGCATATTGTACTCCGTTTCATTACACATTGACGACGTCTATAACGTCATCGCGATAGCAGCTGGGTACGTAGACATGCCGTCTTTCGAGAGCACGCGAGCACGTCGCCTGACTTTTGTCTACAAATCAGACGCGGATATTTCCAGTCCACGTCAGTTTCCGTTGGCAGATCAGCTAGCGACTTTCTACCCGCGTCTGCGTGCGCCGGTAGTTCTGGACCATCCTATAGCCATCAGCGGCTGCGAAAGGCGGACAAACGCGTGGCTGTCGCAGTAGACAAAGCAGCGGGATCATAGTAGAAGGGCTGTGAGAACTGTCCGCGTGCATTAAAGCATGTCGCGACAGTATTTCTAGTTGCAGCTTCAATATGTTTGTGGCATTTATGTCTCCAAAACAATCAGTGTAAATAAGGGGGGTATACATAGAAGCTGAATATTCTGAGTAGTCCTGCGGACCAGAATCAGGGCCCCACGTGTGACACTCTGTCGAAATGCGCATACATTTGTCGCAGCTGCAAGCTGACGAAATAACCCCCGCTGATCAATCATACAGAACTGCTCATTGCGTCGTAAACGTTAGCTTCGCTGCAGCTCCTAGCTCCAAGCCGACTTTTAAAAGATCGGCGTCGAAGAGCTACTCACCCCTTATATAGTGCAAAAGATGAACGTGCGTGCACGACCATGACGAAAAGCTAGCGTACACACGGCGAAGCACGTCGAAGAACTCTCCAGGACCGGATCGTTCTTTCGAAAATCATTTGAAAATTCAATACACTCGTGTCTGAACAAGCAAACCAATCTCGATCGATTTGTTGTGCTGCATCAGTACTCATCGTTGCCTCTATCTCTCGCCTGCTTTCGGGATACCGAAAGGCACGAGCCAAGTGTACGCGGTCGTAGGTTTTGGTCATTCTCGAATTGGAGCCCGTCAACACCGGCGCCTGATCATCACCATGCGCCCGCTCAACATCGCTGTCTACTTGGTTGCTGTCCTCCACGCCATGGACGTCGATCCTGAACTAGCGGCAGCTGTGGGACAACGCGAGAGCATTTCGTCGCGGGCTGCTGCAGTGGATTCCCAGGTGTCGGGCACCCATTTCGTGCACCCATCGGAATCCCGACTGCTGAGAGGGGAGGCAAGCGCTTCTGAACAAGTACGTGCAGGCGCCGGTTTACCTATCAAGCTGAAGGAATTGGACTGGGAGATAGTCAAATTTATACAAGGAAGGTTGCGATTGAATGGCGACGTCGACATGGGACGCATTGTCCAAGCGCGGGCGAAACCTGAACACTTCGTCACGGCGATAGATCTTCCACAAAATGCGCTAAAGGATCGCTTCGACAGGATGACATTTCTGGAGAAGCTAATGTACTTCTTCAAGCTGCTCTTTAAGGTCAATGTAAATAAACGGCTAAAACTTCTGCGCAAATTTGAGGAGGCGTACAACAGGCACAAGTCAAAGCCCAGGGGATTTAGGCCCCGTGGGCCTATTGTGTAATCGGCAACGTTAGTCAAGGTGTGTTTATCGCGCTTACTTGCATCGTAAGCTGATAATACACACGACCCTCGCATCATCAGAGGTGTTGATCATATGTGGCATTGTCTTGTTACTCCAACGCTCGTCATCGTTGAGCTGCCCACTATCATCGGAACGTGCAAGCCTATCACTCTCAGTCGAGTACCGCAGGAAAGGCCTCGATGCCAGCACCTACACATATCACTACACAGGAGAGAGCAACCATTGAAACGGGGTGAGCCCGTTACATGGAAATTGTCATTCTAGAGATAATGACAATAAAGAATATTATGTTGAATATTCCTTCAACAATATCACCAATAGTGGTGATATTGATGGGTCGACCAAAGAGTCTGTTCATTGGTTGATATCTTGATGATATTAACCCACCAATCGCCGCAAGGCGCGCGCAATGAGTGGTGACGAGACGTCACCATACACTCAGTTATATTAACATAATAGAAGTTAAGTCAAACAGAGAGACAGTTACAAAAGACTTAATTATATTAATATGACAGTTTTACGTTTCCCTTATCTACGCTTCCTCGCTTGCCTCGTGTACGTCTGTCGGGGCACCGAAACCCTTGCGTTAAGTTCACGCAAGGGTGTGCCCCGTTACACCTGGTAGCACTTTGTAGTCCTTCCAAGGACCACATCATCCAACATGAACATGTTCGATGATGATGAGACCTTTCACGCCACGCGTGAAGGGTTTGCCCATTTGAGTGACATCGAATGGAGTGCGGTAGAACGAATGAGTTATACCGTAGGCGAGTTCGCCATTAGCGCCATGTTGGAGTCTCTAGACAGAGACCAACAACATGCCGCTATCGCCAAGTTCATTCAACATGAACTTGTCGCCGAAAGGGAGAAAGTAGCCTTGCTTCACTAGCAAGGCTCTAAACAGGCCGAGCAGTTGAGAGAACTCGGTGCTCAACAGACAGAGCTGTTGAGACAGCAGCAATTCCATGCTGCTGTGGGCGGGACAGCGCATGTGCCGTCCCGAAGTCATGAAAGTTGACATCTCAAAGTACAGAGGAGTCCCAGACGACTCCCTGTTACTATGGTTCGTCGAACTCGACAGAGCCTTGAAGGCGCGTCGTGTCGACGATGAGCAAATGAAACTCACATTTGCTCAAACCCACTTGGCAGGGCGTGCCAAAACTTGGTCCCTGAATACAACAGTTTTACGTTTCCCTTATCTACGCTTCCTCGCTTGCCTCGTGTACGTCTGTCGGGGCACCGAAACCCTTGCGTTAAGTTCACGCAAGGGTGTGCCCCGTTACACCTGGTAGCACTTTGTAGTCCTTCCAAGGACCACATCATCCAACATGAACATGTTCGATGATGATGAGACCTTTCACGCCACGCGTGAAGGGTTTGCCCATTTGAGTGACATCGAATGGAGTGCGGTAGAACGAATGAGTTATACCGTAGGCGAGTTCGCCATTAGCGCCATGTTGGAGTCTCTAGACAGAGACCAACAACATGCCGCTATCGCCAAGTTCATTCAACATGAACTTGTCGCCGAAAGGGAGAAAGTAGCCTTGCTTCACTAGCAAGGCTCTAAACAGGCCGAGCAGTTGAGAGAAATCGGTGCTCAACAGACAGAGCTGTTGAGACAGCAGCAATTCCATGCTGCTGTGGGCGGGACAGCGCATGTGCCGTCCCGAAGTCATGAAAGTTGACATCTCAAAGTACAGAGGAGTCCCAGACGACTCCCTGTTACTATGGTTCGTCGAACTCGACAGAGCCTTGAAGGCGCGTCGTGTCGACGATGAGCAAATGAAACTTACATTTGCTCAAACCCACTTGGCAGGGCGTGCCAAAACTTGGTCCCTGGGGCTCGAGAGTAGCGACCCAAATGTGTTTAGGTCGCTAGATGACTTCAAGCCCCGGCTCAGACAAACGTTTGAGCCGCCACGGGCTGAGTTCAGGGCTCGTTCAGAGCTCCTGAAAATCGAGCAGGGTAAGCGTGATGTGCACGCTTACGCACAACATATACGACTCCTTGCGAGTAGTATAACTGCTAACCCAGTCCATGAACACACGTTGATTACGGTATTCATGCAAGGCCTCGCAGAAGGGCCCGTCAGGAGCCACCTGTTCCGCCTTGAGCTAAATACGATGGAAGATGCGATATCAGCCGCGGAACAGGAAGACTTTAGCATGAGACAGGCTCATGCTAGCTCAAACTCTTATCGTCCACCGAGACGACAAGAGACCGGGGGTCCCGAACCAATGGACCTCTGCTATGTTGAGAGCGAGAGACCTCGCTCTTCGAACAACAAGCGATTGCAGAAGTGCAATCGCTGTCAGAAGTTAGGGCACTACGCATACGAGTGTAGTGCTCCACGCCCAGTACCAAACAGTACTGAGCGAAATGGACGACCATTTGCCAGAAAGGGCAATGGGCGTGGGTCCAGCGCTGTTGCGAAGCCGCAACAGCGAGACGGACCATCAAAAAATGGTCGGGGTCAGTAGGGGCGGAGCGCCCTACTGATCTAGCAACCTCAAGAGAATTTGCAAATCTCTTGACGAAAGTTGCTCCAGACACACAATCAATGTGTGTCTCTACACCTGGTGATGAGATATCACTCATCACCTTGAAGTTAGAAGTGACAAAAGATGTGTCACTTCGTGCCCTGGTTGACTGTGGGGCGTCGAACAAAGTTGTTCGACGCCAGTCACTAGAGGGCCGTAGGCTCAAGTTCGTTGAGCGCGACATTCCCCTCACGAGGAAGACGGTTCGCCTTGCAACTGGCGCATCGATTACCGTTGAGAAACGTGTAGTAGGAATCCACTACACGTTAGAAGGCGAACAGTACGATGATGACTTCATCGTACTGGATCTGGATGATAAATTTGATGTCATCCTGGGATTACCTTGGCTCAGAAGGTACGAGCCAAGAGTGATCTGGCAACATCGATCTGTAAAGATGCCTGACGCTTGTTCATCAGATGGCCATCTGATGGACATCTTGAAGCGTCCACAAGCGTGTGGATGTTCTGCGAGTGAGTGCGATGGCCTCACTTGCGGTACGGTCGTCAGCACGACTGCACAAGATCACAGTGTAGTTGATCATTACACTGTGGAGCAAGCTCCCGGCGGCTGTACAGGAGTACAGGCTGCACCGAAGGTCCACCACTCGAATAAGTCGAGTGGACCGGGACATGGATGCATGCCTAGCGGGCAGCATCTTAGAAGTAAGAAACCTGTTGCCTTCAAAGGGCAACATGGAGATCCTAAGTCGACTGGAGAGTCGGCCGTAGAGGATCGGTACCTGACTGTGTTTGCACAGCCACAGTCAGAAGACGTCGAGGAAATCATTCCCCACGCTCTTGAGGAAGGACTTCCTCACGAGTTAAATACTAAGGGACTACGCCCTCAGCATCCTGTGAAAACAAGTTCCCAGAAAGAAACCGAGACGTTGAACGTCTTGGTTAATGACGGATCAAGCGTAGGCGCTTATACGCTTGATCTGATTGTGCCTCGGAAGTTAACTTCGGAGATAACTCAGTTGCCAACGCTAGAACCGAAACTGTTCCTGCGTGATCTGCGTAGTGGCAAAGTCAAGCAGATCTGCATACTCGTCGCAGAGAATGAGTATGTGACCGACATTCGGTCGGCAACAGTATTTGCTGAAAACGAACGGGTTCTCAGCAGCTCATCGGTGGACGAAAGTGTCCTCGATGAGAAGACTCGGATTGATCGATACACGTCTCAATCCTGGAAGTTGCTTCAAAAAAATCTCTTTCATAAGAATTTGATAAAATTCAGGGATGTATTCTTTGAATTCGTGCCTTGCAAGTTGCCTAAGGACAAAGGCGCTCGACACGAGATCGAGCTCAGCCCGGGCTCGAAGTACTGTGTCATGAAGCAGTGGCCCCTGCCTCGTGAACAGGTTCTAGCAATCGACAAATTCTTTGCCGATCGCTTCGCTGCAAGCCATATGAGGGAACCAACTTCCCCTCACAGCTCTCCGACCTTCTGTGTGCGAAAGGCCACAGGAGGATGGCGGATAGTGCACGCATTCAACAAGTTGAATACTGCAACGGTACCGGCTCAGACGCCGATACCGAAGAAGGAAGTAATCATATATGTCATGTCAAAGAGTACCATCTTCTCGTCCATGGATCTGATGGATGGGTTCTATCAGATCCTTATGCGTGAACGGGACATCCCGTACACAGCAGTGAGCACCCCCAGCGGGATGCTGTGGGAGTGGCTAGTTATGCCACAGGGACAGAGTAACGCCCCTGCAACATTCAACAGATGTGTCACACAAATCTGTTGAGACCGGTGCGGTATTTCGCACCGACTTATTTCGACGATGTGTTCGTCCATAGTCGGGCTATGGACGGGAAGACAAATGTACAGTTCACAAAAACACGTACGCCAGATTTTTAAATTTATGCGGAAGCATATATTGTATGCTAATCTCAAGAAGTGCATCTTCGCGGCTAGCGAAATACCACTTCTTAGGTGCATTGTGGGTAAACACGGTGTACGCCCTGATCCCGAAACGATAAAGGCGATTACCGACTGGCCTGTGCCAGTCGATGTCAAGAGACTTTGTAAGTTCCTTGCGCTAGCGGCGTACTTGCACAAGTACTCACGCAACTACGCCGCGATGAATGTGCATCTTTCTTGTTCACTCAAAAAACGTGTGAAATGGTCATGGAACGCAGACTGTCCGCTTTAATTTAACTGTATTAAACAGAGCTTGATGCAATTGCCCATATTGGCAATTGCAGATCAGGACAGACCATTTCATGTGGTCTGTGATGCCAGCGATTTTGCATTCAACTGTACGTTGATGCAGTATGACACAGATGGCGCAGAACGCGTCATCTATTATCCGTCGCGTCAGCTGCAACCAGCCGAACGCAATTACCCAGTGCATGACAAGGAACTACTTGCCATGAAGTATGCACTGGTTAAGTTCCGGGTATTTCTATTGGAAGATAGACCGTTCATC